GTTCCTGTCAGTTTTATTAGTACTGAATAGTTTGGTTGTTTCTCCCCAGCTGTTCCCTGTTAGTTTTATTAGTACTGAATAAAATTTGGTTGTTTCTCCTCATTTGTTCCTGTTAATTTTATTATCACTGAATAAAGTTTGGTTGTTTCTCAACAGCTGTTCCTGTTAGTTTTATTAGTACTGAATAAAGTCTCGTTGTTTCTCCCCAGCTATTTTTGTTAGTTTTACAGGAGTGGAATATTGTGTATTTTCGCGAACCACGAAGGAATATCTTTACTTCTAAAGTCATGAGTAAATAGTTTTTCACTCAGTCATGATGGTTTCGTAAAATATTCTGTCTTTCCAATCAAGGCTTACGTAAGGCCAACGTAAAGCATATTGTTTTTGTAGCTACTACTGTTTAATGTCTTCTAACGATTAGCTTGTGATAGAGTCGATCGCACTCCTGTGGACCAAACTCTGGCAATGCGCCAAATCTCTCAACAGTAACGTTGGTACAAAGATAATTTCGTTGTAATAAGTATTAGTGTCTTCAGTAGAGCATAACCAAGATCGGATATTTTCAAACGACAAACTTGTCGGAATAGACTTTTTAATTTTGTTAAAGTAGTGAATCATAGCGAATACGTTCCGCTAATTTATCAACGTGCTAGTTTAGTTAAAGAAGGATTAAAGAACATAAAACAGTTAGGAATATCCAATATCACACGTGCATACTCGTATTCAAAATGTCCATGTATGAAGGATTTACTTTGATTATCTATTATACTTGTCTACAGAGAATAGTCAACATTGTCAAAGTGATTATCGGGCTCTGTTTTTAGAAATGAAGATCCTAGATTCGAGCTGCAATACGACTTAAGCTTTCAAGTGTAATTACGTGATAACTGTAACAGTTAGTCATTTTATTCAGCTAATAGTGTGGGCTAGGATATGACTCTAACTTCCAGTTCTTTCTATGCTCACCTGTCTTACTTAAAAATTGGTTATGCCTGAACTTTTAACCTGGCCCTTTACTTCGTATATCACAGGTTGAAAAATACAAAATACCTACTGAAGCGAGAAACAGTAACTTAGTATTTAAATAAAGTTTATTTGTTTGTCATTTAAGCACAAAGCTACACAATGGGCTATCTGTGATCTGCATACCATAGGTATCGAAACCCGGTTTCTAGCGTTTTAAGTCCACAGACATTCCATTGTGCCACCGGGGAGCATTTAAATAAAGTTTCTCGAGTTTAACATTTGTTTTGAATTAATATGTTTACGTAACATTTTAAATCAATTATAGAAACAAACCGTTTCTACATAATATATTTACTAAAAGCTCCATTCACACACACGTAAAAAACATAATGTTTTTTGAACAGGGATAGATGGCCAGTGAAACGTAACCGTTGTTGAATGTGGTGGTCTGGCATCAGATATTGTTTACTTGTTGACATTTAGGGGAACCTTATTTCATATTCTTTCATGAGAATTGGTGGAGTTGTAACTATAAAACATGAGGATTGGTGGCACGTGTAACTATGAAACACGAGGATTGGTGGCATGTGTAACTATAAAACATGAGGATTGTTAGCATGTGTAACTATAAAACACGATGATTGATGGCACGTGTAACTATAAAACATGAGGATTGGTGGCATGTGTAACTATAAAACATGAAGATTGGTGGCATGTGTAACTATAAATCATGATGATTGGTGGCATGTGTAACTATAAAACATAAGGATTGGTGGCATGCGTAACTATAAAAACATGAGGATTGGTAGCATGTGTAACTATAAAACATGAGGATTGGTGGCACGTGTAACTATAAAAACATGAGGATTGGTGGCATGTGTAACTATAAAACATGAGGATTGGTGGCATGTGTAACTATAAAAACATGAGGATTGGTGACATGTGTAACTATAAAACATGAGGATTGGTGGCATGTGTAACTATAAAAACATGAGGATTGGTGGCATGTGTAACTATAAAACATGAGGATTGGTAGCATGTGTAACTATAAAACATGAGGATTGGTGGCATGTGTAACTATAAAAACATGAGGATTGGTGGCATGTGTAACTATAGAAACATGAGGATACTTTTTATAAAATTGATTTATTTATATTTTTCACGGGACTTGTAGTACTGTTTATATCCAAGAACTTCTAGAGAAGTTATTGAAAACTGGGTGTGGCCTTATGGTTATCATGCAGAATGTTGGGTCTGTGGTTAGACCCTAAAAAGTGGGTTTCGATGCCATTGGCTCAGGTAGCCAAGTGTTTAGCCTTTCCCTTAACAACAATCAATCCAAACCAATAACTCGTTCACTTATATTCACATCATAATACTAATTGAATTCTTAAAATGTAATAATTCCCTTTGTTGTTGTTTTATAAATATTGTTAAGTGTGTTTAGCTGTATAAACACGACAAAACATAGCGGGGAACATGATAGACATTGTTATTTATAAATATCTTATTTTTATTATATATATTTATTATTGTTATTTATTTCTTACCTTTTCTAAGTGCTAGTAATTTAATAGAGACATACACCTCTAGTTAATGTTAATATTCTATTGTTTGGCGGATCTAAACTTAATAACTCATTAACTATTACTGAACTAACTCAATCAATTATTAATCATATTTATATCCTACTTTTATTGCTACATAGAGTAGGAAGCTTCTCGATTCTTAACAAGTTAGAGAAAGAAAGAGATAGACTCGCTCACCAAGTTATGAGGAAGCTAGAGAAAGATAGAGATAGGCTCGCTCACCAAGTTATGAGGAAGCTAGAGAAAGAAAGAGATAGGCTCGTTCA